AAGCTGGAGGAAAGTTTGCACGCCGCGATCCCCTACACCTTACGCAGTAAATAACACTCCGATTTCGTCCCTTGCAGTGCGTCCACAGAGACCTGGCAGCCAGGAATGTGCTCGTGACCCGTGGGAAAGTGGTGAAGATCTGTGACTTCGGGTTGGCTCGGGATATCATGAGTGACTCCAACTACGTTATCCGGGGCAACGTGAGATGCTGTTTCTTACACATAATTATGCTGTTTACCATGTGTGTTTCGGCGTCATGGTGCATTGATGAACATCCACAAACTTCCTCAGTTTGCTTTCTTAGACTTAATAGGTTTTTCTGCAGCTTCCATCTGTAATGAAAACTGAGCAAATCAGCAGCATCGCATCGATCCCTGGACCAGTCAGAATAGGTCACTTAGGGTCCTTCGAGTGTCATCCACAATTAAAAACGAATCCCGTTACCTGTATTTATTTCAGTTCCCGTAACTACAAAGTAACTATTGAGTTATGTTTCCGATGATGGGATCTGGTAATAGTTACAAATAAGCGTTTGAAAAATGCAACATATAAATTAAGTACGAAATACACATTTCTAACAGGCTCGATATTTAAATTAAATATTAGTCAACAAATTTTCGTCTTCCTGGCACTGTTACACAGGGAAATCTATGACATGACCGAAGCTTCTCGTTAATAAAAAACTAAGGACAGGTGTTTACAAAAGAACTATTAGACTAGATGATAACATTGTGTCGTTGAAAGATTATGGTTTTTAAGAATTGCAACACCTGGCTTCCAAACCCCTATTCTTCTCCTTTTCCGATACTCATTTTGGGGCTTTCACTCTGCTTTATTGTCCCTTTTTGTGAAGGAATAGTAACAACAGATGCTGATATAGTGCCCTCACTGTGCTAAACTCTGTTCTAAGTAAGCGCTTTCCATAGATTAAGTCAGTTAGTCTTCGAGTACCCGTTTGTGGGTGGGGAAGCTGAGGCACAGAAATGTAACTTTCTCATGATTATACAGCCCGTGGATTAGGACACGGATGATCTGAGGATTATACACTTACCTCATAGCGTCCTTGTGGGAAGGAACCAGTGAATCCAACGTGGACACTCCCATCAGGGCAAACGTCCAGTAAACGTTAAAAACCAAACTCAACTGTATCCATGCTGGACTTGAATAATCGTCTGAGCTGATTTTAGGTCTGGGTCTTGCTCACTGTAGCTGAAGTCATAAATATAACGCATGGTCATCGATGGCTGTTTGGTGCCCACCCTACCAGCCGACGGTCTCTTATGTGGGAAGGCGAATCCCATTTTGAGCCGCAGTTAATCCCTTTAATTCATCAGATCAGCCAGGCTGGCCTGCTTGATTTCTATCAGCTGGTCAGTTTGCGAAGGATTTAAGTATGGCTTTTCTCTCGAGCTTTGATTTTACTCGGCGGCATAAATGTGTGCCATGAAGGGCCCCCCGCCACCCCCGCAACCCATGAAAAAGACACCGGTGCAAAATGCCTGTCTTTGCGTCCTGATTCTAACCCGAGGCTGCACTTATTTCAAACCCCACTTTCATGCAACTGGAAATTATTAAAGCCACGCGAGACAGGCTGGTGTCGTTTCTGGAGGTGACGACCTTCTCGCTGAGAACATTTTCACTAAAGCTCCTCCAAAGAACGCTCTCGCAAAATAATCCACGAATTCGGTAGGGTCTACTCACCTCTGGGCAACCGACCTGCTGCTCCTTACGGAAACTGTCTACCGTTAAGCTTACCGATTGCCAAGTACAAGTCTTCGTTCAGGATGAGTTTGAAAGACAGACAACAGGTTGCTCTTTTTTTAAGGCTACCGTGTTCGAATGGTAATTTGCAAGTGAAACCCTTCAGCTTGAGGGATAGGATTTTTCTCAGTGAAACGCTGACAGTGGCCTGAGGGAGAAAAAATTTCTCTTCTAGCTCACGAGGGACAAGAAGTGATGTCTGTCTGTGGAAGAGTCACTCTTGCTCTCTTGGATTTTCACAGGCCCGCCTGCCTGTGAAGTGGATGGCTCCCGAAAGCTTATTTGAAGGGATCTACACAATTAAGAGTGATGTCTGGTCATACGGAATCTTACTCTGGGAGATATTCTCACTCGGTACGTTTTGCAGTTTGCTGCTTTCCCCGGGTGCGGGGCTTCTGGACGTTCTGTCCCTCGGCCTCCTCCCCCTGGCTCCCGAGTCAAAGAGTGGATGAAATGCCACCTCAAATGGGCCCAGAGCTCCTGAGCCTTACTTCTGTTACAACAGGTGTCACTTTATGGTTTTTCTTTTGTTCGTTTGTTTGTGTTTTTTTGTTTTTTTTGCTGGCGTCTATAGTTCTGTCTTCCTCACCAGCCCGTAACCCTCTCGAAGGCAGGACCAGCCTTTGCCCGCTTGCACGATGCAGCCTCTGACTCCTGGGGAGCTCTATCGACCTGTCTATTAATTGAACAAATGAATAAACAAATAAAGAATGAATGGATGCTTACACACGCTCGTTATGTTTTTCAGGTGTCAATCCTTACCCAGGCATTCCGGTGGACGCTAACTTCTACAAACTCATTCAGAGCGGATTCCAGATGGATCAGCCGTTTTATGCTACGGAAGAAATGTAAGTTCGAATTAGACTGGAAAGTGGCTGAAATCGGAAAAAAAACGCAGCCTGTCTCGTTCCGAACGCGTGACCCAAAAAAGTACAACTCCGTAATGCGAAGTTCACGTGATTCCTCTTTTTTCAAAAAAAGAAAAGAAAACGCCTCTTTTGTGTTTGCGACGATTTCTGAACAAAACCGCTTTTTCCCGCCTGAGGTACTGTGGCCTCTGGGTTGGGCTCCTTTGCCCGAGGGATCTGCGAGAATGCTAAGACCTCCTGACTTCTGGTTCATGTCACATGTTTTCAAGGGCGGTTTCTGTCCGTCATCCGTCATCGAATCGGTCCTTTCTGCTAGGAGCTCACAGTCTAGTCTAGTAACTGCCACAGAACGAACGTGCCATGAATGGCTCCCTGGCACTAAGCCATGCTCCATTAAGTGGAAAACGGCCCCCTTTATTTCCATTCGGATCACCCCATCTTGCGTCTTCTCTTGTTGCTCTTACAGATACTTTATCATGCAATCCTGCTGGGCTTTTGACTCAAGGAAGCGGCCGTCCTTCCCTAACCTGACTTTGTTTTTGGGGTGTCAGCTGGCGGACGCAGAAGAAGCGGTAGGTAGCGTCGCACAACCGTGCCGAGCATGACAAAGGACATCAGTAAGACTGTTCTTTGCTGAGTCCCTAAGAACCCAATACCAAGGGTATTCCTCATGGTCGCTCTTTCGAGGTCACCTAAAATGAATATAATATTGTATGTCAACTGTAATTGACTTTGTTTTTGGGGTGTCAGCTGGCGGACGCAGAAGAAGCGGTAGGTAGCGTCGCACAACCGTGCCGAGCATGACAAAGGACATCAGTAAGACTGTTCTTTGCTGAGTCCCTAAGAACCCAATACCAAGAGTATTCCTCATTGTCGCCCTTTTGAAGTCACCTAAAATGAATATAACATTGTATGTCAACTGTAATTGAAAACATTGTTTAATTAAAATTAAAAAAAATATATGTATAGGGTGAGGTATAATTACCGATAGGTGATTTTAGCGGGGGAAAAAAGTTTTTCTGAAGATTTCAGCCAATTGATGAAGAATTTAAATGCTTTTAAGTGTGCAGTGCAGAGGGCTAGATGACTAAATAAAGCTTGATCCCCGGCCTTCAGATGCCACGGGGCTTTCCCAGTCGGCACGAAGTTTCGGGACGGAACGCTTTGCATAGTCAGTCACGTGGCACAGGGGAGTGGAGGGAGCATCCATCTGGAACCACAAGAGGAATCCCAGATGTGTCCTCTGCCTCAGTGGCCGTGTGAGTCACGGCAAGTCACTCTGCTTCTCTGGGCCTTAGTTTTCTCACCCGCAGAATGGGTCGCCAAGCTAGAGGATCATGGCGCTTTGGGAACGTGGAATTACTGTCCTGGTTCTTCCCCTCGTGGGTACCACCTGCCATAGTGAAAGGAGCCACGCCCTAGAGAAAGCAAACAAAGGGCGAGACCTTGAACTCCCAGTACCTAGGTTCGAATCTCGGCTCCGTTGTTTGCTTCCTCAAGGACTTGATTAAGTCACTTAACCTCTTCTGGGGTCCTGACCTGAAATATGGGATTAACAGATATTACTTCGTGGAGTTGTAAGGAAGAATGAAGATGACATATGGGAAAAGGTTGAGCACATAACCGGCACTTAGTACTCGATAAACGTTAACTATGAATCCGATTCTTTAAGTGGATCGTCTGTCCTCTTTTTCAAAATTCTTAAGAATCGAAAAAGGCGAAGGGATGAAGAAGTATAAATTGGTAGGCACAGAACAGTCACGGGGATGTGGAGTACGGAGTAGGGAATATAGTCCATGTTATGAGAATGGCCATGTGTAGTGCCAGATGGGTGTTATCACCTTGTAAATTATATAAATCTCTAGCCACTGTATAGTATATCTGAAACTAATAGAAAATAAAAAACAAACCATAAACATTTGAAGCCCCAAACTATGATCTGTGAGGGATATTTATATCCAAAAGGCAAACCTGTATACAGTAGTGAACAGAGAATGTTCGGGCTGCAAATACTAAACGCTACAAGGGAAACATAACTCTCTTAGAAGAGTCAAATTCAAAGGAAAGACAATTGAAGCTGAATCTCATCCCTAATTTGTGCTAAAAACCAGACAGTCAAAGCGTATGATTTATAAACAAAATTATCCTAAAAAACAAACAAAAAAAAGAGTCCATTTTTAATTCTGGGGTCTCCCTCGGGACTCGTGCAGGTGGTGAGTGTGCTGTCCTCCTGTTACGATTTTTAAGAAATCACGTACGGAAACTAAGTTAGTTATTGCCGGGGACTTAGATCGAAGAGATTAGCGGGGATAGAAAGCCCCCCAGCAACGTACAGGCTATTGAGCAGGTGACCTGTAAACAGTTAATGACACGAGGAGATGGAATGAAAGATGAGTTAGAGAGACAAACAAATGAGATGCTGGAAGGAGCAGGCGGGTCGAGCGGCTTTTACAGTCAGGGAGTTGGGTGCAGAGTCGCAGTGCCGGTCTGTGAGCTCCACTGGGAAGAACGCGCGCTTTGGCTGACGAGCGTTTTGGCTGTCGGGTTCTAGGGTGTTTGGGGGCTGGATGCGTGGTGTAGGTAAAGGGCCAAAGTCGAGGAAGTAGAAGGAGAAATGAATGGTTGTGACTACGGTGTGGGGGAGGGTGTGGAAGAGACAAGACTGTGAGGGGGTGTGACCAGGAGGGTCCACGGCTGCTGAGGACGCCCTTGGCTGTGTTCGGGGCCACCTCGGGCTTGCGTGCGGCTCTCTCCTTCGTCCCCACCCCCAGGGGATGTCCAAGTCCCCTTCCTGCTGCTCCGGGGGCCTTTGGGCACCCGGAATCATTGAGTGGCAGGATCTCTGTGGATGACGATTCAGCTCAGGGCAACACAAGGATGGGTCTCCAACTCTCCCCACCCCCATCTCTTCCGTGCAATCTCTCCCTGGCCCTCTGGGAAAGAAGATGCTTCTCCTTTCCAGAATCAGAGCCCCTGGCAGCCAGCGTTAGGTTAGAAAGTGGCACCCCCTCTGGGTGAGATGAATACACCCAGAGCAGCCCTTACTCCTGGCTGGGGGGAGGGGGTGGGCTCCAGTCTAGACACCGATGAGTTTCAGTCCCCACCTGGCCGCTTGGCAGAGCACCTTTGAGCAAGGCGTAACCTACACAACCACACCTGCAACCCTCCCATTATGAGCAAACCCCGTCTTCTCCTGCCACCACTCCACCTCTCCACGTCCCCGAGGGACAGTCACATCCAGTCTCTCTGATGGGAAAACAGGCCTCGCCCATGTGCCCGGAGTGATTGTTCCAGATACTTATGTGAACGGTCCCTGTAGACTGTCTATGTCTGCTTCATCAGGGACGAGGGAAATAAAATGGTCCTCAGAGAACAGGCGAGAAAGAGAGGGGACCACGTAGAAAAAATGTCTGTTACTATTTGCAGATATAACCCAACCCCGACACCATGGAGTTAGAGCAGGGAGATCGCTGAATAACTTGCCAAGGCATTATTTAGACAATGGTGAACCAATGATGATTTTAGGACGGACAGACATGCTTCAATATGTGTCTTAAAGACCCAGATCGCTACATACAGTGACGGGCGGTGACGAGGCTTGTTGTGGCGATCATTTGCAATATATACAAATATCAAATCATTAGGTTGTACACCTGATATGGTGTTATATGTCAATTATACCTCAATTTAAAATAAGAAAAAAACCCGATCAGATAGTCTCTTCAAAGATTTCCCTAACTTCCCGAGTCAGATTTCACTCTTCTCTTTCTGAATCCTCAGACACTTTATGAGATACGCATCACGTTGTGTGACAGTTTTGCTTTATCGGTCTGTTTTCCTCATCACTGGATTTGATTCGTGAGGGCAGGGACGGTGTGCTGCTCATCTTTACGCCACCTGATGGAGTTTCATAATAAATAAGTGAATGGAAATGTCAGCTTGAGAGTTGGTTAGAGACCATGTCTGTGCTGTTCACCGCTGTATAACCAGCTGCTAGCATGACGCTTAGCGCAGGGAAGGTGGAGGCGGATATTTCCAGAAGGAAGGAAGCATGATAGTAAGCTCGGGAAAGCAAAGGCAAAGAAATGAAAGTAAGGACATCAGTTAGTGATGCCATAATTAATCGCTTTTGAAAAGCAAGGAGATCTTTATGGACCAGAAACTCTGGGAAATGCCTGAGACAAAATAAGCAGTTAAGACTGGACAGAAGAGAGAAACCCCCCCACAGAGGATGCTTTGAAAGATCGAGGAAAAGTACTTTCCTAAAACAGTAGGACGTGGTCCAGGGGGCTTCTGCACAGGTTCTGCAGTAGGAGCAGCCGCACTGCCAAATAAAGAATAAAAGGCGTGTGAAAAATGTAAATATAGCCGCTGGTCAAAGAGAAATATAACGCATAACCTCAGGTTCATTAGAGAGGAGAGCAAAGATCCTAGAAAACATGACCAATCCGATAAAATAGGGGAGAGAGAAACAGAAGAGTCATGGAAATATATAACACAAAATGGCAAGAATTAGTAAACCCTCTTAAGAAAGAGAATTCGAAATAAATAAAATTCTTATCGGACAGGCCATAGTCATAAACCTCAATGCCATGGAATGAGAAATCACTAATAGCAACCAAAAGAGCCCCATAGTTACCTATCAGAAATTAAAAATCAAGTCTTTGGTTAAGAAAAAGGAAGAAGAAGAGGAAAAGGAAAAAGAAATAAAAATAAACGCTGCTGATTAAAACCCGTGGAAGTTGGCCAGATGGATAGCTCTGGATTCATTTATTAGAAAACAAAAACAAAAAAAGAATAAAAATAAAGAACTAAACTGTCAGCTCAAGAAGCTAATAAAAAATATGAAGAAGGAGGAGGAGAGAGAGGAGGAAAAAAATGGGCAAAGCAGAAGGAAGGAATTACTAGAGATAAAGGCAGAATTACATGAACTGAGAACAACAAAAGTAATATGATAGATAATGGTCAGGAGAGCCAAAAGTCGTTTTTTCGATTAATAGTAATAATGTAATAGCTAATGTTTTTTGAGTGTCGATCACACACTCTACTAATACATTACCTGTAATAACTCATTTAATCCTCACATCAATCTAATGAAGCAGGTTCTATTATCGCTTCCTTTGTAGATTAATAAACTGAGGTACAGAGACGTTAAGTAATTTGCCCAAGATAACACAGTTACCCGAATAATGTAATATTCAGATCCTAAGCCTCAGACTTAGGATCTGAACATTACATTATTTAAATGTAACATTCAAAACGTATCAATATCATAAATTAACAAAGTGTACAATATACCAATGAAGCATACTATGATGAGAACAGTTAAGAAAAATGAGAAAGGACCGAGAAATAACATTCAGAATGAAAAGAACAGAACTATGGATAGAAGACCCGTTCTAAAAAGCATAAGAAAATCTTATGTACATCTTTATAGCGATATACAGGAAAATCTAGAGTTTCAAACTTTTATGAGGAAAACGTATCATGTGTGACTGTGCAGTTAAAAAATTCGTTTAAAAAATCGCTTTTTTTTGGTCGTACACCTGATATAGTGTTATATGTCAATTATACCTCAATTTAAAACAGACGAGTTACCGTTTCTGAACTAGACCCAGTAACTGATTGGCTACGGATGTAGAAAGAGCTAGACTGTGGGGCCGAATGAACGGCAGAGTGTGAAGGGAAACGGAAAATCAGGAAGAATGGGTTTGCAAGTCACGGACGATGAAGTCAGGTGTGGACGTGTCGGATTCGAAGCATTATTGGTATTTCTGTCACAGGCTCCTTTAGACGGTTAGAGATTTAGTGCTAGAGATATATTTCATTCCGCTCACTGCCACGTCCACGTCATAAAAAAGATGTATGGTGACTGTTCGTCTCGAAGGGTACAGGCAGACTGTCATCATGTAGACCGCGTTCGAAAGGATATATATATATATATTTTGTTTTCTAGAAAGAAAAATTCAGAGTAGGAGACAGTCCAGTCAGTTAAGGCTATAACTGAGTGTCAAAAACAAACAAACACACAGTAACAAGGGGTGGGGGAGTAGGGAAAAGAGCCTTAAATTTAAGTAAAGAATGCACAAGTCCTACGTCACAAAGAGTTCTGGTAAATAATAAGAAAAACATATCATCCCCACATAAAAGGGCAAAGGACATAAGCAGGCTACTCACAATGAAATGCAAATGGCTATTGAGTAAGGACAAAGATGCTTGGCTTTGCTTATCATGAAACATAAGCAGGTGAGATGAAAAATGTTCCTGGAGAAGGACCAGAGACGTGAAAGCTGTTAAGAGCCATTGTGGGTGACGCTCTGCAGAAACTAGTCTTCCCAGACTCAGCCGATGGCACTAGGAATAAGGAAAGCCTTCTGCGGGGCCGCGCAAGCCACGTGTGTCACAGTTCCCACGTGCGTTCCGTTGAATCACTCCCCTCACATCTCCCAAAGACAGACAAGTTCCCGTGTGCGCTTTTCCGCCCCATACTGTATAAGTAATCCATCGAAATTTAATTACGGCACATTGGTAGGCCCCCCAGGCTGCCGTTAAAAAGATGATATGTGCTCGTGTTTGGTAAATCGTGAAAACGTGTAACACACGCCACGTACGCGCAATGTAATTGACACATAACATACGAACGCCGTGTTAGTCCTTCAAAACAAGATTCTAAAACAGAATCTGCAGTCTGAGCCCTCTAACACGAAATCGTGTGGGTACCTCTGATGGTTTGAGCGTTTTTCCATATTGCTTTCATTATCTAGATGAGTATGTATGAATTTTATACCCAGACAAAAAAAAAAAAAAAGAAGAGTTGTTTTTTTGTTTTGGGAAAAAGTTTCCGAGTCACTCAACTCCCAAGCGAAGACTCCAGAAAAATGGCCTTTCTCATTTGCGGTTTCTCTGCTATGGCTTTCGGATTTCTAGTTGGCGATTTTCTGTCTTAGAGTAGAAATAATAACAAAATAAAATATTGGACCATGTCTTGATTTCAGCATTAATAAAAGGACCCAAACTGCTCTGTCAGTTGATACGTAGAATAAATAGCCTCTCAGGCCTGAGCACAGTAAAGATAAGTGATAACATGCCACACGTCGGCACGTGACACGTGAATCTTAATCAGATGGTAACGAGTGTTCTGCATCTTTCCCGTCTTCAGATGTATCAGAACGTGGACGGCCATGTTTCAGAATGCCCTTCCGTCTACCAAAACAGGCGACCTTACAGCAGACAGGCGGATGCAGGTCTGTCTTCCCCGCAGGCTCACGTCGAAGACTCCAGAGAAACAGTTTAGTCTTACGGACTCACCTCTCCCCGTCCGCCTACCTTCAGCAGGTTACCGATGACCGAAACAGGTCAACTTCGTCACCAAAAGAAAGTATACTCTCAACCACTGCTTTGCTGGGCTTGTCTCTAGAAGCTCTCTGTATTCACTCTTGTTTTCAACGGGACTTTCGAATCAGCCTTCGCACGAGGCAGGAAGAGTCGGTGATTCACTCTGCATCCGAAGGCCTTCTCAGGCTGGCTCGAGTGAAAATTGTGTACCCGAGGTATAGTATATTCTTGTAAATACATAAAAAAACAGAAAAGCATTTTGCTAAGGAGAAGCCGATATGATTTTTTTAAAATCTATGTTTTAAAATAATATGTAACTTTTTCAGCTATTTAGTGATATATTTTATGAATGGAAATAAAATTTCTACTGTAGAAACGTTCGTTATTGAGCTGTTTGCGTGGTATAGTGAGGTCGAGACTTGACTAGAGGTCGTCGACCTACTGAAATTGTGTGTGATATTTCGTTTGTGCGTGTGTGTTTTTTCCCTATTGAGAAGGCCCATTTTTTTCATTAGTTTTAAAAGTGCCTTTGACTCCTACCCCCAGACTAGGAGGAGAACGGCCGATGTTGGACGCCTGCCGACTCCGCTGCAGCTCCTCGATGCGGTCCTTGTCCCTTGAAACTTAGCACCCTCCATCCCTCAGGCTATAAACTTGGACTTGCCTTTACATGTCGGGTGGAGGACGTGGTGACGTTCTGCCGTTTCTTTTCTTTCTTTTTCCTTCTTGTCCTCCCTTCTAGTGCGGTGGTTACAAACAAGCATCTGCTTAGGCTGGGATTCTCCTTCCGCCACTTCTTAGCTAGGTGATGTTGGACCATTTTCCTCTTCTGGAAAATGGGATTATAATGGCGTTTACCTTATAGGGTTGCCGTAAGAATTAGATGCATTAGCTAGATCATGTATGTGTGTTATAAATAGAGGCATATATTATATCAACATATAAATCACTTAGATTAATGCCTGGCCCATAAATATAATCCGATATTGTCACTAGCACGTTCCTTTCCGGTTTTAATCCTTTGCTGTAGACCGGGGCCACCATAAACTCAGATTACACCAATGCCTCTTCACCTAACTCTCTTTCCAATCTCTTCATCCGTTTGTTTTTCTGAGTCACTGACAGTTTCGTCATCCTGAAGTCCTGAGCTGCATCAATCACTTCTGAGCTGGAATAAACGTCCTCTCTTGTCCTGGAACTTTGTACCTTGACTGGATTCAGGAGCTGGAGCTTATTCTTCACACAGTACTAGTCTCTGGCGACCGTGACAAGCACGTCCCACTCCTAGATCCTTGGAGGTGCTGCGGTCTCTCTTGCAGCCCACGCCTCAGTCCAGCCTTCCTGTTAGGCCAGCAAATCCTCTGCTGGTGCAGCGAACCCGTGCACCCCATTGCCACAGCCTGCGAACCTCGGAGCGTGTGCCTGTGCTGACTCACAGCCTCCGTGGCTGGCCCGGGGGTCTCATCCGGATGCTTGACCCTCACCAGAAAGCCCTCTCTGATTTGGTCGGCTAGCGGCCTTCTTTCTAGTGTCCAGTGCCATACCAATTCATCTTCACTGGTATATATTCTTCTGTCATCTTGATAGGATTCGAAGGAGTGGAGTCACAGGCGCTGGGGAAGCACTCTTGAACTGCTGGTCAAAAAACACATCAAGGATCACAGGGAGGGAAATAGGAGTGAGTTGACATTTCTAGAACTGTCCTTTTCCTTCAGACAGAGTGATCTTGGTCAGGACTCACATGCATGCCGAACGTGACCGCACGGCCGACTGAGGCAAACAAGTACGTGTTTGGGTAAAGTCACGTCCCCAGCATACCCCCTGCGGCGGTAGGAAAGGCATCAAAGAATCCGGTTTCCTTGAAAAGGAATATCCTCTTGTTCGTGAGCTTTATAACGATGGTATCGTGCTCTGTGTAGACTCCTAGATCCTGTTTTCTTAAAAAAAAAAAAAAAAGTCGACATCGTGCTCCCGAGACCCACTCACGGTGGGTGCCACACGAAGCTCAGCTCTCGCCGTGGGTTCGGTTTCGGTTCGGGTCAAGCTGCGCCCCTGTCAGAAGGACACCTGGTAGCACCTGTCAGAACAACTCACAAGCCCGATTTTAGGGGTGTGTTGCGGCGGCGGCTTGGACAGCCCCGCCCGCCGGGCCTTTGCCGCTCTCTCGCCAGCAGGTGGCGCCCTAGGACCACATTTTTAACTCGCGCATCAGACCTGACTTGGTTACTGCACCTGGACCCTGGAAAGACGCGTTTTAAGAAAAGATCCGTCACTTGATCAGAAGGAAAACAACCCTCTCTACATATAACTTCTAACCTTTTATTCAGCATTCAGTTGTTTCTTAACTATGATAGCCGTCGTGCATTTTAGGTGTACGATCGATCACGTTCAGGACGGTAACTGAGCAGCCTAATGTCAGATTTTTTTATAGGATCTGGTTTTTGCCACTCTGTTGGGGACTGTCCATTCACCTGCACGCACGATTGACTTTTGAACTTCTTCCTGGAGCGTCTTTGATGCTCAGTACTGTAGGAGCCTGGACTGGCTTCCTACAGTGAAATAGTCTATTTCCTGGAGATTTTTCGGACTCAGAAAAGCACCCAGGGGTGTTTGGCCCGCAGCAGGACGATGTCCTGGATGACCTCTTATCATAGTTCCAGCCCTTCAATTATCCATCTTCCTTTCTACCCCTCCCTCCCCGGCCTGCCTTCTCTCTCCTTAGTCCTTGACATGAAGGACTTTCTCAGTAACAGGGTTATCTGAATTCCTTGCCACTCCTCATATCACGCTGTCAAAAATAAGTGACATCAGTGTTCACATTCCTTTCGGTCTATGCCACAATCACCATCAGCAACAGGGAAAAAAAAAATGGTGGGGGGAATTTTCGCCTAAGAAATTCACATCTTTTGAGCTCCTAGAGGCCCAACAGAGATTAAAATCGAAATTATCTTTATGAAGCAGGAAAGGCTTTGGCAAACTCTTTTGTGGTAAAATACACAACAGGTAAAATGTTCCGTCTTGACCGTTTTTAAGCGTGCAGCTCAGCGGCATCAGGTACGTTTGCATCGTCGTGCAGATGTCAACACCATCCTCTCTGGAACTTTTTCACCCTCCCAAATGGAAACGCTGTCCCCATCAAGTACCAACCCCCTACGCCCCTCGCCCAGCCCCTGGCACCCACCGTTCTACTTTCCGTCCCTATGGATGGGACGCCTCCGGGGACCTCACAGGGGTGCAGCATACGGAGTTTGTCCTTTTGGAACTGGCTTATTCCACGTAGCATAACATCTTCAAGGGTCACTTTGCTGAATTCTTTATATTAACATTTATCGATCACACGCGGTGTCCCAGTGCTATGTTAAAGGCTTCACGCGTATCGTTTCATTTAATAAAAGTGTGAGGTGGGAGCTTGTTGTGTGGCCATTTAACAGACCCTGAAACCAAGTTCAGAAGGTTAAGTCACTTACTTGGATACAGGGAGGTGGTAAGTGCAGGCCTGGCCTGGAACGCTCCGTGCCCGCCTCATAGCCGCCCGGCCCCGTGGCTGTCTCGGCTCCTTCCTCTGGCTCTTCACCTTGTTTCGGCTCAGTCCTCAGCCAAGGAAAGCCACCTAGAAGCAGCAGGATTACGGGAGTCTCGATCCCCAGTCTGCCTCGAACTGCAAATGCGTGTGTAGGAAGGCGAGTCGTCTCTCTGGCATCTTACAGAGAAAAGTCCTGTGTACGCTCCGTCCATGAAAAGTTGTCTATGGTTGCAGGAAGCAGGTGAGTGAAATGTTTCGACGGAGAAGTGACATAAAAATTCGACTCTGCCTTTTTAAGGATTTTCTCCAGCGGCGGCTACAAGTCTTTCATCATAAAAGAAAAATGAAAGCAAAGTCAACTGTAATATATCCAGCAACCAGAATCTAAGAACCATATCTTATATGGTTAGACACAGATTGCGAGGCTACGTCTATATATAAATGAAGTTTAACACCCAGCTTTTGGATGCATAGTTCCTAGACTGTACGATTCACCTATTTCTAGCGCACAGTTCAATAACTTAGCTTTTTGCTTGGATGAAAATCACCTGACGTTCTCACCACCTCACGTGACGCTGACTGATGTGACTGCCGAGGGTCAAACGGGGTCAAACGGTTCAGCCCCAGAGGCTTTCTGCAGCACAGGCTGCCACATTAGTTTCATATCGCTAATTTATGTTTTTTGTTGTTTTTTTTTTTTTCTGGTCAATGTCGTTTCTATATCCGTGCCTATTTAATTCCTTAACCCTCTGTGCCTTAATACTCCACGCATCGTAGGTTATTTGGGATTCCGTTCTTGTGTAACGAGGGAATACAAGGAGGCTAGCGCTCCCGTGGGGGCCAGAAATTCAGTGAGTCACCACGTGTCAGCATCCCCTTGAGACCAAGGATTTTCCCCTTGCGAATTCAGATGTCTCTGGCCTGCTTCTCTCAGAGGAATGGGGAGCCCCCGGGCTGCACGCCCCAGGCTCGAGGAGACCCTCGGCATGCAGAGATAAGAGAAGGAGACAGTGGGGGGTCGTGCATGCAAAAAGGGTGGGGGTCCCCTTCTTCCTCCCCTTCCATCTTCTTCCCCCACTCACCGGGAGCCTGGGAATAAAGATGGGGAGCCTGGACAGGCGGGGGGGGGGGGCGGGGCGCCTAGGCAGACCACAGCCTCCCTCTCCCCGCAGGCGTATCTGACACTGAACAGAGGCCGAGGGCCGCGGAGGAGGGAGAAGGTGACCATGTGGCTCTCAGGCCGCTCCCTGGGTCTGCAGAAGAACCTGCAGGTCCAAGGAAAAGAAGAGGTTTCGTGGCCGGTCAAACAGACGGTCTGTGCAGAGGGAACGCTGGTCGGCTCCTGCGTGGTCTCGCCTCCCTCTCCCCGCAGGCGTATCTGACACTGAACAGAGGCCGAGGGCCGCGGAGGAGGGAGAAGGTGACCATGTGGCTCTCAGGCCGCTCCCTGGGTCTGCAGAAGAACCTGCAGGTCCAAGGAAAAGAAGAGGTTTCGTGGCCGGTCAAACAGACGGTCTGTGCAGAGGGAACGCTGGTCGGCTCCTGCGTGGTCTCGGGGAAGGGGCTGTTTTAACCACTTTGGTGTAGCAACTCACTTCACCGTGGCCACAGCCCTGTGTGGTGGATGCCGTTATGACCCCCGGTGTACAGACAAAGAAACTGGACAGTTCAACGTCTTGCCTAAGGCCAGGATCGGAAGTCTCCTGGTCCATCCTCTCTGCCCTGGACCACAGG